CACACATGTGGTACTTTACACCTCCAGAACCTCTCTTCCTATGACAGGTTTTTATCTTTTGACTGCCTTTACCCGTGTCATACACACACGTGTGTGCGCACACACATACCCCACCACTTCTGGCAACCACCAATCTGTTCTGTATCAGATTTTTTAGATTCCACATAGAACTGTGATCATATAGTATTTGTCTTTCCCTGATTTATTCCACTTAGCATAATGCCATCCCGTTTTTTCCATGTTGTCACAAATGACAAGATTTCCCTTTTTAATGGCTGAATATAGAACTACTGTATGATCCAGCAGTTCACCTTCTAAGTTTATATCCAAAGGAAACAAAATCACTATCCCAGAAATATATCTGCACCTCCATGTTCATTGGAATATTATATACTGAGATTTTTAATGGAAAAAAGATTGGAGGAAGAGGAGAGTGAGCAAAGATAGTCCTTAGTGTAGTTTGGGGCTTACTGTTTTTGAAACGCCTGTGGACTATCCACATGGAGCTGTCTCTGCCTTTGGAAATAGAGAGCTGAGCAAGGTTCAGGAATCAAGTGAGAGACAGAGGGATATGGGAGTTAGACGGGAAGACCGTCATCCTAAAGCAGCAGTGGGAGAGATGCGGCGTTTTGTTTGTTTCTTTATGAAAAACATACAGAGAGGCAACAGCCTAGGGAAGCATCAGGTCTGGGTGAAAAAAATTACTATTGGAAGCCAAGGTAGCAAAGTGTTTCCAAAACAAGACAAGGACCAGGACTTAGGATCTAATGATTAAATGGTATCATTGAAACTAAACTAGTTTTTGTAGAGTGTAAGCAAAAGTGAGATCTCAATGAGAAGAGAGAGTGGGGGCAGCTGATATTGAGTCCTTTGGGATGATTTAATCATGGAGAGAAGGAGAGCTATGGAGCAGACAGAGGCGGGACTTAGGGTGCCTTACTAAGAGGTCAGGTGTGAAAAGTGTTTTTTGTTGTTTTTTTTCTTAAGTTTGTGGAAATGTTGAACATTTTTTACAGGATCAAGAGGAAGAAACAAATAAAAAGGAAGGTTGGAAATACAAGAAGATGATAATGGAGAAAAGGCCTCAGCAGCTACATCAGGGAAATGGGAGACAGTGTAGGTGGAAAATGGGCCTTAATGGAAAGCAATAAGACCACTGCTGAAACCAGGAAGGAAGGACAGAGTAAGGATTTCAAACAGCATGGAGGTGTAGGAGAGGGAAGTTGAAATCATTCACTGGATCTTTTGAGTGGGCCTCTGTATTCTCTTTGTCCTGGAAGGGAATATGGGCAGGACTGAGGACTTGAGATAAATGGTGAAGGTTTAGAACAGAAAGTGGAAGATGAGATAAAACTAACATTTGCAAGATAGCAGAAGGGTGTTACAGTAGTATTGGATGTCCATTCGCACTGGTTACTGAGAGATTCAGGATAAGAAGAGAAAACTGGAAGCACTCAAATGCTGAAAAACTGGAGTGCTAGGGATCTGAGATGCAACGTTAGGTTTAATGAAGGTGAGAGACTAGGAAAGGAAGAAGGACCGAAGCGTGGTTGTGGAGGGAGATATTCAGAGTGGTGAAAGACACAGTCCCTAAATCTTTTAAAATGATTGAAGACGCAATACCTGTAATAGGATGTTGAAGGTTTTCTGTCATAAACAACTTCCAGATTTCTGTCCTAAGTTAGAACTTGGTTCACTAATGTCCCTGGAGGCAAGAAAGAAGAAACACCAGTGCTTACCCACTGCATGGAGAGTGGGCAAGCAGGACGGGAGTTCATTTCCACACAGCTTGGGTTCAGTTGAAAGCAGTGCTGTAGAACGAGACTGCTGAGAGAAATGCTAACACTTACATAAAGGTTTTCCCCTGACAGAAACTGAGCAAAGTGCTGAGTGGGCGTTCAGCAGGGGAGAAGGTGCAAGCTTTGCCCATCCATCATCTGCTGGCAGGGGCAGCACGTTTCTGTTTGCAGTGAGCACCAATAATTAGGCTCATACCTGGTTGAAAACCTTCTTCTGGATAATGGGTGAAGATTTAAAGTTAGGTTAGATGGCAACATTCCCTGCATTCCTTCGGCTGGATAAGCAGCTCCATTACTACTAAGCCTTCTTGGCTTCTTCCTTTTGGACAAGTCGGGCTTAAAAAAAGAACAGCCCACCCTTCCCTTCATTAACCCCTTAGTATTTTCTGCCTGAAAAAGATCAAGGAGCATGTGAAACCTGGTTTGAGCCTTATACTAGTCACAATGTTCAAATGAATTTTTTGGAATCTTTATTACCCAGGAGGCCCATGGGGCCCAGAAGAGTCCCTAGGTGCTACTAAAAAAAGAAATGTCTGGCTCAGGCCAGTCCTGCTCTCACATCTTGAAGGCAATTGCTACAGCAGTTGTTGCTACTTTCCTTCCAGAAATCCTGTACAAAAGCAAGAATAGAAGTCAGGTTTTCAAAAGAGGATATGAAATAAGGGGTAGAATTTCATACCTACATTATATAAACACACATATACACATTTTCTCCTCAAAATGGCACACTCAGAATTAATCTTTTACTAAGAAAAATAAGCTTTTTTTTCCCCTTCTGTTATGAAAACTAGAGTTAATGCCCGTGAAAGTATGGCTCTTCTCTGGCTGCTTTTGCATCCTGGACCAGTGCCCCTCTATAACATTCATATAGGACAAAACCCAAAGCCTTTTGTATAGTGATACAGTTAAGGTAGAAGGAGATGTTCTTTTTGGTTTCCTAGAAAAATAAAAATTTTAAATGTTCATGTTACAAGCTCTATCTTCATGCTTGGTTGTTTCTAGAATTTTGATTATTTTATTAAGATCATAAACTGTATGTGTTGGTTATAATAACATATACGCTGTTCTTGAAGAACATTAGACCCAATCTTTTGATGAAAAGCAGGTTTTTGGTGTCACCTCAAATGTCTAAAACACCATCAAATTTTCAGAGCTGCCTTGTTACCTTTATTTGTACAGATCAGTCTGGTTTTGGGTTCTTTGTCAAGAATAAAATGATCTCTTACTGAGAGAAATAAAAGGTTGTGTGTGTGTGTTTGACTAGAATAGTGTTTCTCAAAGTATGGTCCCTGGATCAGTAGCATCAGCATGGTTTGAAGAAGCCCAGTGCCCAGATTTTTACTGAAGGATGGTACATAAGCAATCTCTGCCTGACAGGTGCCAAAATTCAGACTCGCAGAAGGAAGGCACGTGTTCAGCATAAACTATATTGTTTATAGGGACACCATAGGAACCGTGAGCTTGGCCAAGGGCCAACCTGATATAGTCTTTTCAAAGGATAGAAGTGGGACCTGCTGGGCCTCTTTTCTTCACAGTTGTGCTAAATAAGTTAATATTTGATCCATTTCTTTTATTTAGTTACTGGTCTTGGTGTTGGGGCTTCCCTGGTGGCTCAGTTGGTAAAGAATACTCCTGCAGTGCTGGAGACCTGGGTTTGATCCCTGGGAAGATCCCCTGGAGGAGGGCATGGCAACCCACTCCAGTGTTCTTGCCTGGAGAATCCTCATGGACAGAGGAGCCTGGCGGGCTGCAGTCCACGGGGCCACAAAGAGTCAGACACGACTGAGCGACTGAGCACACACTGCTCTTGGTGTATGTCTGTGTTGCAGTGTCCTTAGAATGTAAACTCTTCGAGGACAGACAGCATCTACCCTGTAAGCTATCAGACATCAAGATGAGTGCCACTTACACTGTGAGCCTGCATCAAGTCCTTCACTTCTGCTCATGCTCTCCCTATATTGCCTACTGCATCACTTCTTGATTAAATGCCTGCCGTTCTTCAATGCCTTACTCAACCCCCCAACTTTACCATGAAGGCTTAACTGATTAGACTGTTGACTTTGAACTTGCCTTCTCCTGATTCTGGTGGTCTTGTACTATCCATTTTAGTGCTAGATTTTCTACAACCTTAAATTTTCCCCTCATTTCTTATACTTATCTGTCATCTCCTGTCAAAATATAAACTCCTTAAAGCAGTCCAATCTTTTCTGCTTTAAAGAGTAGTGGTTCTTAGATTAAAAAAGATTGATTAATGATGTAAATTACATAGAAAAACTAAAATGATTAGGCCTAGCATTCTTGTATTTTTAGATATTTAGAGGTAAATCAAGCAAGCAGGCTTCTTTAGAAAAAGAGTGGTTAAGAAATTCCCTGATGAAAAAAAAAAAAAAGAAATTCCCTGATGGTCCAGTGGTTAGGACTCCATGCTTCCCCTGCTGAGGGCTCAGGTTCAGTCCCTGATCAGGGAACTAACATGCTGCAAGCGATGCTGTGTGGCTTTTAAAAAAAAAAAGAGTAGTTAACCTTATAGATTTGATTAGATTATAATTACAGAAAGGTTTCTTATAGAAACCTCCTGTGGTTTAAATAAGGTAATGTTAGAAACCAGATCAGTTAAAGTGGCCATTAATTGTTAGCTAAGCCTCAGGTATTTAAGTTGTTATGTGAGGTTAAAGAAGGTATATTAAAACAATAATTTAAAAAAACAGTAATTTTTTATTGTATACTATATTTTGCCAAACTTTTTTCCACCCAAACTGCAATGCTAGGAAGCCACCATCATTCTAGACATAATGATAGCTGTAATTAATCATGTCCTGCTTTCAGCAAACAAAATTGTAAATGTTCTGTTAGCCAAATTTTCAATTATCCATAGGACTCTTTGTCCCATTTTCCATGGACAGGAAAAGACATTTCTGTTGTCATTTTATCATTGTTGATATTCTGGAGACTCACCCTTTAAACTTGATCCCATTCAGCAGAGAATTTAGAGCCCAAGATTAGAAATTAGCATATTTTGTGGGCCCAAAATAGCTAGCATGTTTTTGGTGGTATTACATTCTTGGTCAACTCATTTATCTGTTTTAATTTCCCCTGAGATCTTGGCTAACTGCTTATATAGATATCAAATTTAGACTCCGGGATCCATGCAACATGCTTTTGCTGCCATTTGCAATGAATAAATCGTCTCCAATTTTGCAGGTGTAAAGAAGTGAATAAACGGAGACCCCGAAGTTTGCTAGAGAAACTGCGCTGGGTGACCCTTGGCTACCATTATAACTGGGACAGTAAGGTATTCAGATTTTCTTGCTAACTCCATTGATTTTCATTTTTATGCTTCTTGGGCCCACGTAGTTTGACTTCTTTCTGGCCAAGTTTAAAGTATCAGATTATTCATTTGCGGGAGGGTTTCTTTAATGTATTCCCTTCTTTAAAATCCTTTTAATACAGACTCTGAAGAGGAATGAATAATTTATCAAGAGAAAAGTACTTTTTCATGTGCTCTCAGATTATATTATTTCATCAGAAGTCATTGATGCTTTCTCTGTGGAAGTTTCAGGGATACAGATTTTTCTTTCCTGTATTCATGAGGAGTTTTCAATTATAATCTTTAGTTCCATTGTTATTTAGTGTTTGTTGATTATTTATTTTCTACATAATGTGTGCCTGGAGTGAAAGAAGCTCCATGTACTTACAGTGTTCTATCAACTCACAAAAGAACTTTCAAGATCTAGATTCCTTTGACTGCTATATAAGGTCTGTGCAGGGGAGAGATGGGAAAAATGTCTACAGTTAAAGTTCCATGTTTTCTTGAGGTACAGTTTCTTCTTTCCTGACCCTTGGGCTTCAGAAAATGCCTCTTTTATCGCTGACATCTTAATGCCACTTTTCTTAGTGAGGTGTTTGCCACCAAAAGGACTTAATTCTGAGGATAAACTGAATCAAATTGGCATGAACCATCTTCCTACTAACCAGTTACTTTTTAAAAGCTCTATAGTTTTCAGTCAATCCAGCTTAATAATAAATGTATTAACTACTCAGAACAGTAATAACTGTTGCTCAGAACTATTCATGATATGTCTTATTTTCAGTGATACAGCTTTACTGGAAAACCAGACATCTGTATTTGGGGAAATGGCCATGTGGTTTTCTTCTGGTTAGCCAGCCTGGATTTGAATCCTGCCTTCAATATGAATAGTATCTAACCTCACCAGATGATTGTGAGGATTAAATGATTAATGCCTTTATAGTGATTACAGTAGTGCCTGACTGTTATGAGCAGTTAATGCATTAACACAGTAAATGTTGGCTTACTGGTTTTTAAGGTACTACTTTTATTGTAGATACTGTTATTTTCCAAGGACCTCAAAGTTAGCCTCACTAAGAAAAGCTTGGTGTGAAATTAGTCAAAAAACACTGAATGGTTAATCAGAGAAAAGTAAAAGAGAATCAAGAAACAAGTGTAGTGCATAGGGAATTTGGATAGGGATAAAAGCCCAAAAAGGTAATTGTTTTGTTATAGCAGAGACAATCAAGTGCTGTAAGTCGTTGGTCTTTTAAAGGACTAAAACAAAATGGTAGAGAAAACCTTCTCTAACTACACTCATGATTTTGAGAAATAAATAGGAGCTCTTATTTGTAGTACAGGAAAAAAGAGAAGAAAAAATGAAAACAGATTCCAACTGAAGAGGCTTGGCCATCCATCAGAGACTTTTCAGAAAACTCTGATTTTTCTAATCAGATCTGAGGTTGATTGAATAACAGGAGGACTGAGAGAGGAGCATCAGACCAAGGAAGGGTGTTAGATGCTGCTGGCTTACATGGCCCTCAGACCTGTCTGCTGCCTTGTTCTCAGATTGTGTGTGTTTTGTATAGAGAGTGTTTTGGCCTTAAAGAATTGTGACCCTTAGGTACAGAAAATAGAGGCAGTTCAGGAAGGTAAGTGGTGAAAATTACTTGCATTTTAAGGTCCTGACTTGACCACAGTGTAAGTCAGTTTAAATGTTTTGAGCATGTCAGCCCATCAGATTGACCAATGAAATCACATGAAGCTACGTTGCAGACTAGTTTTTAATTGATAAACTTTCTGCCTTCTGTCCCAGGATCCCATCCAGGATACATTACATTTAGTTGGCATGTTTCCGTAGGCACCTCTTGGCAGTGACAGAGTTCTGACTTGCCTTTTTACCCTAAGAGAACTTTCATGTTTGGAATTAGAGTGGGCTTCCCTGGTAGCTCAGCTGATAAGGAATCCGCCTGCAATGCAGGAGACTCCAGTTCGATTCCTGGGTCGGAAACATCTGCAGGAGAAGGGAAAGGCTACCCACTCCAGTATTCTTGGGCTTCCCTTGTGGCTCAGCTGGTAAAGAATCTACCTGCAATGTGGGAGACCTGGGATCAATCCCTGGTTTGGGAAGATCCCCTGGAGAAGGAAAAGGCTACCCACTCCAGCATTGTGTCCTGGAGAATTCCATGGACTGTATAATCTATGGGGTTGCAGAGTTAGACACGACTAAGTGACTTTCAGAGAGAGGTATGACTGCTTTGTATGTTGACTACGTGCAGGGTGAATGTGTCGGATTTATCACCTTTTAGCACGGTGCCACCATATCATAGGTGCTCAGTGTTTTGAACTGGCTCAATATTAGATTACTGAATCCCTCAAAAATGTGTGGCTATTAAATAAAGGGATGCTTATTATTCAAAAAAAAAAAAATGTGTGGCTATTAAGAAGACAGACTTTTATTTTTGTATATAAAAAGCTTTATGTATAAAAGAAATAGGCTCCAAGGATATATTTACAACACAGGGAATATAGCCAATACTTTATAATAACTATAAATGGAGTATAATCTGTAAAAGTTTTGAATCACTGTGTTGTATATCTGAAACTAATATAAAGTTGTAAATCACCTATACTCCAATAAAAAATTTTTGAGGGCTGCATTAATATTCCCTGTGGTAGAGAACAGACTTGCGGTTGCCTAGAGGGAGGGGTGGGGAGGAGGGATTGGGAGCTTGGGGTTAGTGGGTGCACGCTGTTGTAAACAGAACGGATGAACCAACAACAGGTCCTGACAGCACAGGGCACTATACTGGGTATCTGGTGATAAACTGTAACGGAGAAGAATGTGAGAAAGAAGCATGCACGCGTGTGTCTGAGTCACTTTGTTGTACTGCAGAAACTGACAGAACGTCGTCAGTCCGTCAGTCAGTACACTGCCTGTAAATTAAATGGTTTTAAAGTGGTGGTTAATCTTATGCCAGTCTCCTCTTTTCCTGAGATCATTGTTTATTTTTCTTATTTTCCCTGCTTTTATCAAAGAGATACTCAGCAGGTCATTATACACCTTTCCCTTCTGACCTGGCTTTCCTCTCAGAGCAAGTGGCTGCTGCCTGTGGGTTTCAGGGTTTCCGAGCTGAAGCAGGCATCCTGAATTACTACCGACTAGACTCCACACTGGGCATCCACGTAGACAAATCTGAGCTAGATCACTCCAGACCCCTGCTGTCATTCAGGTGAGTTGGGTCTAGGGATTTTGAATTACTTTTTATCATTTCATTCCTTTTTATAAAGTATTTTTAAGCTTAAATAAATAAAAACATTAAATTTTTTAAATGGGTGAACTCAATAATCTTTCACTTCTGGGCATCTTCGCAGTGTAGCATAAGTAAAATTAACATCGCCCTTTTGGGTAATGACCAAGTTACGATTAATATTTCTGTTTAAGATGCATGGATTCTGTCTTTCATAATTAGAGTTATTGTCAGTGTCTGTGGAATAGATGAGTGGTAAAGGACATAAGGCAAGGGAGTGATCTATTTGAAATAGAGAGGAGGAAAGCACAGAAGTCCAAGTAGTTTACTCTTTGTCTCCCTGAATGTAAGTTTATATTTTTCCAGAGTACTGCACCTGTATTTTCACAGGAAAGTGCCTGAACAGAATCTTATTAACTGCCTTATCTTTAAAGTGAACAGAAGTGATAAATATCTAGTAAAAAAAAAAACCCAAATAAATTTTTATTTGCTAATTTAATTGCTTCAAAATCTATTTTGCAGCAGTTCTGTGGGCTCTAATAAGTTTAAGTAGCAGACCATGGACTAGTCACTCACAGACACAAACCAGAGAAGAAGGATCTTAGCACAGTTTAAAAAGGAGGATTGGGACTTCCCTCGCACTCCACTGGTGAGGGCTTGGTGCTTTCGTTGCCATGGGCCTAATCTCCATCCCTGATTGGGGAATTAAGACCCCATGAGCCACACAGCACACACACACCCCCATCCCAAAAGGAGTATTTGGTAGCAGTAAGTATCAAGCCGAAATTAGAAAACAAGTGCAGTTGGCAGTTAACTCTCCCAACCGTGGCTAATAGCAGAAACTTACTATTGTGTGGTGTTTTCTTTCCGTAGCTTCGGACAGTCTGCCATCTTTCTCCTGGGTGGCCTCAGAAGAGACGAAGCCCCCACCCCCATGTTTATGCACAGTGGTGACATCATGGTAATGTCAGGCTTCAGCCGCCTGCTGAACCATGCAGTCCCGAGGGTCCTTCCCAGTGCAGAAGGGGACAGCCTGCCTGGCTGCCTCGGGATGCCTCTCCCAGCTGACCTGCCCAGAGACTCGGTGGTGGAGCCCTGTTCTCTGGAGGACTGGCAGGTGTGCGCCAGCTACTTGAAAACTGCTCGCGTTAACATGACTGTCCGGCAGGTGCTGGCCGTGGGTCAGGACTTCCCTTTGGAACCCACGGAGGAGAATAAAAGAGACATCACCGCGGAAGGTTCCTGCCATCTGGATGATGACAGTAGCCACGTCAAACGAGCGAGGTTCAGCCCTGACTGCTGAGACTTGGAGAGCCTGTTCTTATACTCCGGCAGGTTCTACAGCAAATGGCTGTGCTGTTTTGTATTGCCATCGACTTTAGCACCAAGACAAGCCAAAAAACAGAGACAGGGAAAAACTCATCACTGATCACACTGTTGCCTTAGAACTCATCCTGAAGAGGAAACTGATTAACCACTTTGTTCAGAGAAGTGTTTGACGTTGTCCAGTCCTGGTTAGGTTTTGGCGCTAAAGTACAGAGAAGTCCAAGAGGGTATGACCTTCCACAAGAGCCTTTTCAGCCTCGCCATCACCTTTGAGTGAGGTAGAAGTGAGTTTCCATGTCTATGGCATCTTTAAATACCTCAAGTTTTGTTGATGGGAAACATTATTCTCCTTCCACCACCCTGTCTAGGGATTTGTGGTAAAATGTGGTTCCATGAACCAACCATTAGTCTTACCTTAATTCTTCCAATCGACGTTGAATTCTTTGGACTTCTCTAGTCTTCACAGAAGAATCCTATACACATAACTGGAAATCACATCTCCTAGGAAAGAAATTAATCCCAGCTATCTCTCTTGCCTAAAAGGTAAACACGTATAAACCCAAGGAAAGAGGAACAGTAGTTTCTCCAGATGTCTTTTGGGTCTGTGAACAGTTCCGTTGGCTTTTAAATTCAATTTTAATTGTTGGACTAAAAAAATCCTAAGGGTATTCTGTAACTATTTTCTCCATGAATAAACTTACTCAATTTTAAATTAAAGATCTGTATCTGTGTTTGAGGGTGAATGTATCTGGGATTAGTTTTTTTCCTATTTTCACTTGCTGTATTGTTCATGCTATTGAAGCCCTCTATCTGTTTCTGCCCTAAGTATTCTTTGTAGCTGTCTCACAGGAGAGAATATTCCTTGACATTCTAGTCACTCTTTTTTTTTTTGGATTATAGACAGCATGGAAAATGCATGAAGCACTGAGTTTTAATCTATGTACCCCCACTACTCAACTCAGTATATCCTGAGCCTTTAAGTTAAATTATGCTTGTCTGGACCTCAGTTTCCTCGTCCATAAAATGAAGATAATGTTTACTACCATCTTCCTAGATGGATGTTGCTATGTCAAACAGTAATGGAAATGTAGTGCCCCTTTCTAGGAACATAATGTTGCCAATATTTTATTACTGTATAGACTCTTAGAAACACCCCAGCTTATCTGTGTGGATGCCTGACCAGAAGATGCTTTGTTACCTGCTGCTTGTGACACGATTTGCCAAATTTTGGTTTCTTCTCTGTCCTGCCCTTTTTTTTTCTTGAGTGTTGAATAATTGAGTTTATATTGTAATCTTTGATGAGTTTCTTTAGAGGAATAAAAATTAACAGATTCATCCTTTATGTGTAGCTGGGTTCTAAAATTAGTTCATAATAGGATAATTTTATATAATTAAAATTACCACTGAGAAAAAAAAAATCTCTTAAATTTTCCATAATATACATTATATGAACACTGTGTGCATTATATTTGACTCATGGTTTTCAGTGCTGAAAACCAACATGTCATTCAGTAAATCCAGCAGGCAACTTACTCTTCAGCATTTGAATAGATTGTTCTTTAGTCAGTTGATTGTCAGATGAAGGTGTTGGCTCTTGGTCAGGGACAGTATTTTACACAAAATGCATGTTCAAACTGAATATGGAGTGAGATACGTATGCTGTGAGAAACTGAGGCCGGCCAAGAGGAGAGCAGATTCCCCTCGCCCAACCAGGCTTCCTCTAAGGCTGTGCCCGTGAACGCATTTGGGAGGTGGAGGGGGCTGAGCAGAACTGTTGCACAACTCAGTTCTCGTTTTTAAGTATATTTCTGTGAGGCACATGTAGGTGAAGATGTATGTAATGCAGCTCAACTTTGGCACAGGAAATGATACAACTCAAGAAAAAGGGAATAAACTGGTGATGACTCTCACCCAATTTTTAGTTGTCTACCAGAAATTTTCTAAGTCAAGGGTCAACAAACTATAACTTACCTCCTGCTTTTTTTATGACTATGAATAGTGTTTACATTTTTAAATGAGAGGGGGCAGATTAGAAGAATAATATTAGTGATACATGAAAATTATATGAAATTCTTGTCCATAAGTAAAGTTTTATTGAAACACAGCCACACTTAACTCATTTACAGGTTACCTGTGGTTGCTTTCATGCTAAAATGACAGAGGTGAATAATTGTAACACAGACCGCGTAGCCTACAAAATCTAAAAGATATGATCCAGCCTCTATGGTAAAGGTTTGCCAACAGCTGGGAAGGAAACCAGACCCCTCGAGACGGACCTGAAACCACGAGAAAATACCTAGCGGAGGATTTTTCTTTTCTTTATTATTTTACATAACAAATGGATAGATCTTCAGTGTGATCTGGGATATCTGTATCAAGAGTTATGAATGTTAGGTCTGGGGAAACTGGCATGCCAGTACTCTGCAAGTGGGAATGTGACTTGCTATAGCCTCTAAGGCTCACTCTGGCATCATGTAACCTGTAATGACTTCTACATCCCAGTTTGGTCAGGGCAGTCCTCAGTGATGTTTCCTTTTCCTCTCAGAAGGGTTCTGGTTTGATGATAAATTATATGGTCATCTTAATTTTATGTTTTAAAATCCGTACCACCTGACCCAGTAAATTTCACTTCTAGTTGAGTCTAAGGAGGTAATTAGAGCTGTCTGCAAGATTTTTGTGTAAAAACATAATGGTGAAAGTTGGAAATAAACTCCAGAGACAGGAGTTAGTTGATTAAATTCATGTATGTATTCAGTAAATGGTTTTTGTGCATTATTCTTTCCACAAAGCACTTGGCATTGTGGTGCTTATTTCCTTGTGGAAATGACATAACCATACAGTGGAGAACTAAAGCCGTTAAAATTCATGTCCTGGAAGAACAAGTAGAGATATGAGGAAATACTTGTATTTAATGAGAAATTTTAGTTATGAAGCCATGCATAGTAATCTAATTCTGTACAAATTGTTTACATATTTTAAAAAAGTGGAAGGCTTTGTGTACTAAAGTGTGGATGATGGTGGGAATATAATTGATGTTTCTTTTATTTGTGTTTTTCTGTATTTCTAATTTTTTGATTGAAAATCTTTTAAAATCATTTTTAAAATACAGCATGCTTGAATTTCTTAAAAAAAAAAAAAAATACTGTCTTACCTAGTAGTTCTGCCTCTGCTTGAAATATATTAGAATATAAATCTTGGGACATCAACACTGTCTAACAAGAGGAGCTTGTTTGATGAAGCTATTTTATGTAACAAGATACTATATAAATGCTGTTAGGTTTTAGAGATGTATTCAGTGATCAAAAGAAATACTTAATATGTTAACTGAAAAACAGTATATACAAGCATTTTACCAGTGTGTTTTGTATGTGCACAAAAAGGGCTGGAGGGTTATAATATATCTTAGAAATTTTCTACAGCCAGCATGAATCGCTCTTTTGAAGGAGGCTTTGTGATGCTTTTTGAAAAGGGGCCGGTAAGGCTCACAGTGCACCCAGCAGCAGCAGCTTTGTAAAGTGTCTGCTTGCTAACTGCCCTCATCAGCTCCATTCCAGTCAGGCTCAGATGGATCCATCAGGCTCAGAGGGATCTTCTCACTACTCTTTGCTTATTATTTCAGGAGAGACTCTGTTTCCAGCACCCTTCATCAGGTTTTTCCTGAAGGCGCTCAGGCCCACAGTGAGACAGAGATAAGTTCAACAGACAGACTCAGCAAGACTTGGCTTGCCATGTTCTGATTTTCCCAATTTTTCACTAAAGTGAAAGTGAAAGTGAAAGTCTCTCAGTCATGTCCAACTCTTTGTGACCACACGGACTATACAGCCCATGGAATTCTCCAGGCCAGAATACTGGAGTGGGTAGCCTTTCTCTTCTCCAGCGGATCTTCCTGACCCAAGAATTGAACCAGCATCTACTGCATTGCAGGCGGATTCTTTACCAGCTGAGTTTTCAGGGAAGCCCATTTTTCACTAAGGTGGACGGTAAAGAATCTGCCTGCAATGCAGGAGACCTGGGTTCGCTCCCTGGGTCAGGAAGATCCCCTGGAGAAGGGAATGGTTGCCCACTCCAGTATTGCCTGGAGAATTTCATGGCCAGAGAAACCTGGCAGGCTACAATCCATGGGGTCGTGAAGAGCTGGACACAACTGAGCCAACTAACACTTTGCTTTCAAGCTAGTCTTAAGCCCTTTTCTGTTTTCACTTAATCTAAAAGGTTGGTTTATTAGAGCAGGGGAAAAAAAGAAAAACCCTAATACCCTAGGTATATTCTATTAAGGCAAATTAGACTGGTAATGAGGTGGAAAGGAGTCCAAGGAATGGTTATTGATCTCAGTGTGAGTGAAGGGTTGGCAGACATCAGTAGGAAAGACACCTCACCTGTTTCCTCTGCTTCAAAGATTACAGTGGAAAAAGCAATGCAAATCTAGTTTTTCAGCCTGGGTAGTAAATGTTTATTGACATTGCTTTTGATTAACTATCCTATCCAAACTTGAGCCCTTGTGAAGATGAATTTGTTGGCTGTCAGTTTTATTGGTAAAACAAATTTCTGACTCTATCAGTCAATCCTAAGGGAAATCAGTCCTGAATATTCATTGGAAGGACTGATGCTGAAGCTGAAGCTCCAATACTTTGGCCACCTGACAAGAACTGACTCGTTGGAAAAGACACTGATGCTGGGAAAGATTGAGGGCAGGAGGAGAAGGGGATGACAGAGGATGAGATGGTTGGATGGCATCACCGACTCAATGGACATGAGTCTGAGCAAACTCCGGGAGANTCACCGACTCAATGGACATAAGTCTGAGCAAACTCCGGGAGATGGTGAAGGACAGAGGAACCTGATGTACTGCCTTCCATGGGGTCGCAAAGAGTTGGACACAACTGAGCAACTGAACAATAACAATGAAACCACCTGAGTGAGGCCTGCCTTCACTACCCTATTCAAAGTCTCAGCCCCACTGGTGTTCCTCATTTTCTTTACAACACTCGATAGCATTTATGACATACAACTGCATTATAAGAAATGAGGAAATGATAATATTGCTCCCCCCAGACTAGATTCTGAGCGCCCTGAGCAGACGCGCCCTAGTTCTCTAGAAGAGTGGCTGGCACATAGTAGTTTCTCACTGTGCATCAGTATCTGTTGACTGAATGGATGCCCAGTGTTGACGGGGTGTGTGAGAATGAGCTTGCATACACTGCTGTAGTATAAATTGATAAACCATTATATCATCAGTGTTTCACTCAATTTTGACCCAGCACTTCTAGGTATCTTCCCTAGAGAAATGCCTGTCCAGAACACAAAATGATACATGTAAAAAGATGTTCATTCCAGTGTTCATAATAGTGGAAAACTGGAAACAACCCAAATGTTAATCAGTAGGGAAAGAGTTGTTTGGATTATGGTTCATACACACTATGGAATATTAATACTATGGAGCCCTTTGCAAGAATATACTGACATGAAAAGGGCTCTAAGATACAGTGGATATCTTGGTTATTGAAATTTTCAATAACTTTCAATTGGTTATTGAAAAGCATGAAATGGTAGAATTCTATGTACAGTGCATGAACTAATATGTAAAAACTAAACAAGATTACTATCTGTAGATACATGTACCTGTGTGTAAAGTTGGGGAAAAAAGATACATCGAAATGTAATGGAAGGAGGAGGATGGGAAGGGACTTTTTACTCTCTAGGTTTTGTGTGTAGTCTGATTTTTTTTAATATAAAAACATATTTATGCACGACATACAATTTTTTAAATTATATAGCAAACCCTGTAAAGAATTGTATGCAGTAATTATATGAAAAACAGAGGAAATTCATCTTTTTTCCCCCAGACTCTCTGTAAGTTTCCTCTTATAAATAAGAACAGGTACTCTGTTAAGTGGGCTTCCCAGGTGGTTCTAGTGGTAAAGAACCTGCCTGCCAATGCAGAGACTCGGGTTCAATCCCTGGGTCGGGAAGATAGATCCCCTGGAGGAGGGCATAGCAACTCACTCCAGTATTCTTGCCTGGGGAATCTCATGAAACAAGGAGCCTTGAGGGCTACAGTCCACAGGGTTGCAGAGAGTCAGACATGACTGAATCGACTTAGCATGCACACACTCTGTTAAGTGATGCAGAAAGCACAGAGTTTCAGCTACTCCCACAAAGCTTTCTGGGTTGGGTTCTCCAGGGGCTGACTAGGGAATGTATGATTCTATCCATCCAGGCAAGAGAACCAGCCTCCACCATGTTTGGGTCTATCCTGAGCTCGGGTGGCTCACTGCACCTGGAGACCTTGTTCTCCATCCACCGTGGAAACACCAACGGGGGCTTCGGTTGCTAGGGCAGTAAATAGTCAGCCTTAAGATTGAACCAACTGGTGAGGGCCACAGTTATCCTCTGAAAAGGATTACTATATTCTAGGGATGTTACTGGACAGATAAAATTGAAGTCTACAGAGCCCTAAATTTATTATGTTAGCTCTGTGGTGAGGGAAAGCAGGAGGAGAGACAAAATCTGTTTGGGGCACACTGGTGCGTCCTCATGCATGTCTACTTTTCCTGGGCATAGCACGTGTTCCCTTTTGTTAGGTGTTAACTGTCCTATCCCCAAAGTGACATTAGGCCTGAATGTGTGCCCAGCCGCTGTCAGGCTGTTCCCACTGCTCCCATCAAAAGGAATCAAGCACTTCCTGGGAGTCACCAGTTAGAGGCCCTACACACTTTGCTTCTTCATTTTTCAGAGGTGCTCAACACAAAGGCTGTGGTCTCAACAGCTGGAAAACAGTCAACTAACCACCTTGCCTGGGTTCTGGCCATCGACGATTCTTCTCTTCTCTCTGAAGACAACCATGCCATGTCTGTGTCGTTATCCAACTAGTCCTGCC